TAATATATATCAGGGGTGGGCAAGCAAGAGTTCAGTGGGTAATGTTGGTTTTGCAAATTGCACGGGAGCCGCAGTTCTGTACCGCGAGTTTATTATATAATATAAATATAATATAAAACAAATATTGAATTTTTTTNCAGGGCCGCCGTAAGCGGGCGTGCAAGGCGTGCACCGCACGCGGGCGGCACGTCCAGGGGGCGGCAAAGAGCCTTTCTGGCAAGCTCAGCATAGGTAATCGTAGTTAAACAGGGGGCGGCATAATCGGTATTGCACACGGGCGTTCAAACAGCTAGCGGCGCCCCTGGGTGGGAAGATAGAATCATGCGTGTCTCCAGTAGGGTCAGACTTAATGACGATTTTACTTGTTATTAGTATTTACAATTTTTTATAAAAGTCATCTCTACCCTGAAAATTGAGCTTTTTGCCATGTTATGATAGTTAAAAGTATAAAAATCTTTTTAATAAAATATGATAACAAATGGCGCTACCAAATGTTGCCTGGATTGTTAAGCAACTCGTTGATGTTTTTTAAAATCATTTTATCTCTAATATAAATGCATTTTGTATCACATCCGTATTATTGAATCCTCTTCAGTATTATTTTCAATTAGTCGTGTAAAAAACGCATTTTCAAGTGATGTTCGAATGAGTTCATATTCTCCTATTAGTGAGATACATCCGATGACTACTGTATAGTTACACATGTAACTGACGTAACTATTAAATGATATTTGAAGGCTTTGACAACTAATCACTAGTGAAATTCTTCTGATGGCTATAGCGCTTATACAGTAGAACCTCGAAAACTCGGCTCTCGATAACCCGGAACTCCGGATAACTCGGCCACACCCTGGCAGGGCAAAAAAATCCTTAGTTAATTAATTTTCATTATAGACAGCTTTATAAAAGTATAAAAGCTCTCATAAAGTATTTTTCTNTCATAAAATTAATAAAATAATTAAAATATTCAATGGAGCCGAAAATTTAAATTAAAATAGTTCAAAAAAATTTTAAAAATACGAGGAATATACAACTGTAAAGATCACTGAAACCGAAGAGTCGTTACTTTAGCGAAATGCATATTATAAGTAACTTACAGTTGTATAATAAAAGTGAGAATAAATATGAGTAATTCCTTTCTTGTTTGTGTTCATCGCTCCTAAAGTCGAAACACATTGAAAGGTTTTTTCGTATTTTTAAATTTTCTAAAAACTATTTTAACTTATTTATCGTTTTAATCTATCAGTATTACATTAATGCTTGTTGAGATTTTAATTTCACCTGTTTTTCTATAATATAAACTGCTCATCCGCGTATGAACAGACAGCATTCGATCACGTGCATTCGTGACCTAGATTGATATTGTACCGTCACACCGACAACCTTTTGTACCTTTAATCTATTGTTCTCTAACATTATATATTCAAGTTTCACATTTTAAACGACCGACAGTTAGATGTTAAAATAAAAGTTTCAATTTATATCACAGTCTGATGTTTTTCTGGTTATCTGCGCTATCGCTGATAGTATTTATGGCTCGAGCCGGCTGCTGGTCTTTATAGTCCGAAACTGAGTACAATAAGTACTCAAACTTAATCATTTGTATATATATGTTATCTCTACCGGTCCTGTTATTTGCGTATGGCTTCACGGTGATTTAATTTCACTTTTGAGGCACGTGTATAATCAGTTATTATGCCTATTATATTTATCATTTCTAATATTGGTAAATAACCATAATTAACTCAGAAATAAATGATTTTATAAGATTATATATGAAATTAAGACGTGATTGTAAAATGTCATATTATGAAATTAAGGTGTTGCCCAACAAAATATATTAAATTGTTTAAGCTAACAATATTAGTAAAGTAGTAGTTATGCAGTAAAGTAGCAGTATATGCTTAGAAAATTTTAATTGAAAAGGAAAGAAAAGAAAAAGCAAATTATAAAATATTAATTTTAACATAATTTAGATTCTATATCAGTTACTTAAAATTATCATTAGGAGAATAACAGATTTTGCATATTAAATTTCAGCTAAACAATGGAAGGAAATATCAACATTTTTATAACTGATGAAACTCTATATTTAATTATTAATTTTATTGTAATCCACTTAATGTATAAATGGTAAAATGTAACACTCATTAAAGAGAATTTTTATTCGAATAAGATTATTTCGTCTCTCGATACATCATGATATTGCACGTATTTTTTATTTTCCTGATCAGTAAGTACCGAAACGAATTGTATTCATTAATTCATCGATACGAAGTATTTAAATAATAATTATTATAATCTTTAGTCGAATCAAATTTCTTCGAAATCGACGCGACTGAAGATTTAGTCAGATTACAAAAGGTAAGAAGGTTATTTAATAAGGAAATAAAATAATATGCGGCTTTCATTTTGATTTACTGAAGGTTTTCTGTCAAATAAAACAGCGAGATGCAGAAATAAACATAGAACGACAAAATCACAGTTCCGGAATCAGAATTGATGTTGGAAAAAGATGGGAAAGCAAAGACGGAAATGGCAAATTTGAAGCTCGAGGATTCTATTCCCACGAGATTGGAAGAGATGGAAGCGTAAAATTTCGAAGACCCGATTATGGACTCAGAGCCAATTTCAGTTGGAAGTTTTAACGGTTTGATTGTGTTTGAAACAATTTATATTGTGTAATTAGTTTTATGACAGATTATAATTTCGGAAAAAATTTTATATTATAAGGCGTTTAATTTTCTACTTCTGAAAAATTCTGCCGTAAAATGAATATTTCTAACGTTTACTCGGTCGTTTAATGAAGATATACCGTGTTTTTTCCATTTTTGTCGTCACCCTGCGGGCACTAAGTGTTTTATCATATCCATCGTGGGTTTGACCAAATGTACAACGACGGTGATCGAGCGAGAAGAGACAGGGAACCACCGAAAAATTCATTGAAGTTGCCCGTTCGGATTCGATCACGGTTCTCCCAAAGCGGCGGGTTAACGTCTAATCCAAATTGGCCATTAAACTAAAATAATTTAGATATCAATACTATATACAGTATTATATAATAATATTTAAAGGCATTTTAGAGGTAGGTTGCGCTTAATTCTCCATTCCATTCTCTTTTAGTACTTTGAAATATGTGCTAACAATAAATATTTATTTTCGGATTTTCTACTTTTGAATTTTTATTGCCATTTTTTCGCCATTTTATGGCTAGAAAATCCAAATTCTACTTATCAATTTAGGCGATTTCCGAGGTGATTACAATAAGCGAAGTCTACTGTACTTAAAATTTTTATTTGTAAATAATTTATATGATTATCCATATAATAAAATTTTAATTAATCACGAATAGACATATTAATATTAGACTTAATTCTATATAGAAGTTTTATTATAATAATACCTATATGAAGAGAGCTTTCGAAAGGTTTACTATGCCTAAAACAATTAAATATTTAAAATTAAAGAAAACCTAAATAATAAATTCAATAATTTACATAATTTTTTTAAAGAAGATTTGAAACAGGTTTTGGTAGAANTTTTTAATAAAACATTATCCTAAAAATTAAGCTATTTGCTATTCGGTAATAATTAAAAATATAAAACTTTTTATAACGAAATTTCATAACAGATGGCGCCACACACGATTTTATTTATTGTAATTAATAGTAAAAAAGTTATTTTTTAAATAAAATCTCATAACAGCTGGAAAAGTTACGCAACTCGTTGCTGGATTTTTTATTTTATAAAGTCGATCAGTTTTGTTTCCTGAGAACAATGACAAGATTCAAAAATTTAAATTGGTAGTACCAAAATATCGTATGTACACAAATATTATCATTTAGTTTTCTTATTGACCGCCACTTTTTCCCCTATTTCCTATATAGACAGAATATATATAGATACTTTCTTCTTTAAAATTTCAATCGGTAAACTATGTTCTGCGGTTATTTCACCCAAGCTGCTTTCTTTTTTATTCATTTCGTTCACCCTCTTTGAAGTTTAACTCCTGTGTTTATTGTCGAAAATCTCTGAAATTTTATAGAGTGGTTGATATATTAGGAAAATCAACGTTATTAAATTTTGGTGATTAAAGGTCGTGGGGTGGGAATAGGGCCGCCGTAAGCGGGCGTGCAAGGCGTGCACCGCACGCGGGCGGCACGTCCAGGGGGCGGCAAAGAGCCTTTCTGATCTATTTTTAAGTAGATAATAACATTATCGGCTCGTTCATATGAATGTAAAGTTTTTGACAAGATAATAAATATTAAATTGTTTACTTAACATTGTTCATCATAAGCACTTGTATCAATGATCTTACTCAGAGGTAACTGCAGTTTCTAATAAATCAAATCCTTTGTTTATAATTTATGTAGTTTATTGCATCATCTTTTGTAATTTAACAGGAGAAATATCTTTGAAATTATTCAGTTATTCCCGTGAATAATTTTTCTTTTAGTTTATGTTTGAATCGCGACGAATGACACTTAAAATCAAATTTATAATGTTTCCTATCCTGCGGGTCATTTATGCTTATAAGTTATTAACCTTGATTTGTCGAACAAGTCGTGTTAACTCGCGTGATCAACTTATATACAAGAAAATACTTTTTCTAATATAATACACTAAAATAATCTTAATTTAGATGTAATAAGGTTTCTCAATAAAGTCTGTCTACATAAAAAGATAAACGTGGATCCACGTAAAGGACTCGAGTAGAAGATGAGGAGCAACTTATAGAGTAATATATTAATCCAAATGTTTAAAAGGAAATTTTCTTAAATATATTTTTAATATCTCGATTTCTCAATCGCTATCCTTTTTACTTCTTATTTCATACATCTTCGTGAAAACTTCATCCGCTTCCCATTCTTCCTATAAGAAAATCTTTGATCGTTCGAATTTCTTTTCCAAGAAAAAATATTATTTGCTTACGTAAGAAATAAAATGGTAACTTTAAAGTAATATTAAATTAACAATAAAAATTCTAAATAAATGTTCGTCAAAATGATGATATTTAAAGTTATTATGCAAGTATGGAAAAACGAATTACTGCTTCTAGAGAATAATCAAAGGGTATTACACCAGTTTCATAACACAATGCAACTGCAAATCTGCTGATTGGATAAAAGTGGCATTCAACTTATTATAAAAGGACCAACATAACTCACGATTGTATCAAATATCATCATGAACCCTCATTTCTTCATCGCTCTTCTCGTAGGTAAGTAAAATTCTTACATACAGTATTTTATTTATCTTTTAATATTTTATAAAATCTTTGTTCGATATTTTCAGTAAATTTAAGCTTACTTGAGATATACGAAGCAAAAGAAGAGTTAATCAATTTACAAAAAGTAAACCCAAATTTCATACAATTTACATCAAATTTTAAGAATATAAATTATAGAATTTTAAATATTTATTTTTGTTATAACAGAGAGATGTTGGAGTCAAAATAGAACACGAAAGACGAGACGGACGGAATCATCGAACTGGAATCAGAGTCGATGCTGGGAGAACTTGGAAAACTAAAGATGGAAGAGGAACATTGCAAGCTGGTGGATTCTATTCTCGTGACTTTGAAAGAGAAGGAGGTAGAAGATTTCGTAGACCAGATTATGGAGTGGGAGTTAAATTCAATTACAAATTTTAACAATAATAATTCTCTACATTCCTAATTTACTGCTAAATAACGTTTACGATATAGAAACATCCTTATTATATCCAAATATTATAATGCACTTAATTTANTGGCCTCATTAATTTAAAAATTAATGAAGCCAAACTACCAGTTTTTCGAGAACTTCGGTCTTGATCTTGCTCCATTCACCGAATAAAGTCGTCCAGTAAACTTACAGGCTTTTCCTCTTAGATTTTAGGATTATTCGGAAGATGTTCGGTGGGATTCAAATCATTACTTTGGATTCGTCGAACGCCAAAAATGCTTGACAAGTTTGGACGAATGCTTCGAGTTGTTGTTATGTTGAAACGCAAAATCGTTGTTGAAGCCCATATCTTCCGCTGATGATTGTTTTCTGACATTGCAATATACATTTTCGCAAACACGCAACCGCTGATTTCCGCCAGGCAGCAAGTCTACTACGAGAGAAACACTTTGTACCATCATATATTGGAAATGCTTTACAGTCCCAATGCAGTTAGCAGGTTTGTAGGCAGTGTTCTTCATCCCCCATACAATTGGGCACCGTCTCGAGCCAGCAAGCTCAAATTTCGATTCGTCGCACTTAATCACGTTATTCCAAAACTCTGTAGATTTTTAAAATGATCCTTTGTAAAGGCTATCCTCTTCGCAATGTTCACCTTTGAAATGAACAGAATACGATACGCGATACATCCTTTAAAACCAACCTCATTCTCGTAACGCCGTGCATCGTGGCCAGATAGAACGATGAAGATTTTGAACGGTGCCGAACTTCTCCATCTTTATAACCTTGTGAACGTTTTCAAAGGATAAATTTTCCTTTCTCTTGTAATTGCCCTGATGCTTATTCAAAACGATCACCAACACAAAAAGTTCTCCAGATTTTGGCATCTCTCGGTTTGATTATTCTACCCAAACTTGTCCAACACGGGATAACTTTACTGAAAATTCTCCTATTCGCTTTCTAGCAGTGTTAAAACGACTTTGACTGATCAAGTTGATTCTTTTTCGAATTTGAATGACGAATTATGGATGTGACTACTTACTTTTGAACAGGTCGTTTTAAAATAGGCATTGTTCTCCAAATTTTACTTGTCAAAAACCAACATAATGGATATTATGGTGTTGTTCTAAGTATTTGCGTAGTTTGACACGCAGCTGTTGGTAAATTTGCATTGGCAGGTAACTCAAAAAACCGCGTTTAGTATTAGCATTTGCCATTATTTTCACTCGAGCACTTACTTTTGATTGCCTACTTTTGATTGTACACATTTTATCACAATGCACTAAAGATGAATAAATCAGCGAATTTTAATATTTACAATATTAATATTAGCATAATAAATAATTTTTCGTGGTCAAATTTTTAAAATTATTACTCATCTATTAGAAATCTTAGTATTTAGCACCCAGGAGATATTTTATCTGTCTATCCTCCCTCGCTACGCCTCTTTAAACCTGATAAGATGAAGACAAGTAGATAATTCTTGAACTTTCATTTCAAAATCGAAAACTGATATTAATTATAATATAATAATATTACTATATTGCTTACGTAATTTGTTGACTTGAAATTCAATCTAGAAACGTTTGTTAATACTTCTCCAGTCTCAAGTAAGTTGAAAACTTTCAATAATGTAAAATTAGAGTTTTCTGATATAAATCTATTAAATATAAATTCGAAATATATCAGTATGTTCTATATATTAATAATTAAAAATTAATTTATATTTCGAGGCAGCAGGTAACTTTTTGAACCTTATATACAGACATAATTCTTATTTGTACTTATTTTGGCATATACTTTATTTGATCTTTGTGTACAACTAAAGTCATAAATTAAGTAACTTATACATCGTCTTTACAATTTATCGAAAAAATCTCGGAAAGATTTGATCAATAGAACTGACTGTTACTTATAATAAGCTCAAAAATAATTGAAAAGTTCGCATTACCGAGAAAACCGTAAACGATTAACTATATTTTTGTTATTAAGTTTAGTCAGTACTAAATATAGTGATTACATGAGTATAACTTATAACTTATTTGTGTCTCATTAAAGGATATGAATGAGAGAGAGTAGTTGATGGAACATTGTACGCCTGTAAATGAGATGGTGCGGGTTGCGAGGCCAGTTGTACCCTTCAAAAATAGCAGCTCTCATTAAACTATCCCTAATGTGATTGTACCTATTGCAGCGAAAAACTAAGTGAAGTGGTGTTTGGTTTTCCCGAATACCACAATCGCATTGTGAATTGTCCCCGAGGTTAAATCTATGCAAGTATTGCTTAAAATTGCCGTGTCCTATAAGTAGCTGAGTCAGGATGGAACTGAGGTAAAAGTGTCAAAGAGTCGCAGTAGTGTCACCCTTGGGGATGAAAATATAGGTGAGCCTATCAGTGGTGCCACGGTCCCAGCGGTCTTGCCAGAGAATGAAGATTTGCTTCTTGACGCGATTGTTGATGTACGTGGTAGGAATGTAACTGAATGTACTAGTGACTGAAGACTTTGCAGCTTGTTTGGCAAGACGGTCAGCGGTCTCGTTGCCGAGAATCCCGCATGACCCGGGATCCATTGGAAATCTATTCTAATGTTGTCTAAGTGTCTGAGAATGTGGTGTATGAGATGGACGAGTTTTAAGCGGCTATCAGACTTGGCAATCCCGTGTAAAGCTACCCTACTGTCAGAATAAGTGGGACAGCGTAAATAGTGTCTTTTGTCCTTCCTACACCTAATGTGAATTAAGTTCGTATAATGAGCAGCGTGTACCTAGATGGAAACAAGCGTTGTGGAGCTCGTAGCCTAAGTTGGAGTGAACTACAAAAGCGGCACCCACATCGTCACCCATCTTGGAACCGTCAGTGTAAATCCTAAACATGGGATGATCATCTGGATTTTTGAAGTAAACGGCTGGTATTACTACTAATTTCACGTTTCTCGTTATTACAAGGTTTTGGAATTGCGACATCTGTTTAACTCCCGACAGATTGCTTCCACATATACATTTGGGTTAAAATTAAGTTATAAAACATAAAACTAGTGAAAAACCTCACGTCTTTTTTTCTTCCGCATTCCGTATTAAATCAGAGACCAAGACTTTAAAACAGCTATTTTTTATATTCTTTCTTTTTTTATATATATCATGCATCGAAAATCTCTTTTTAATTCGATTTTTATCAATTTTTTGACTTCTTTAAAATAAACGACCTACATTTGGATTTATAGAACTGCAATTATACTTATATGCCACATTTTTCTTTTCCTAATTTATTGTAGTTATTGTCATATTTTTATTTATTGTATTCTGTTCTGGCACCAGATTACAAGATTTGAATTTGATTTGAACTTACGAAAAGAGAGATTTCTTCGCTGCACAATCGACCTAAACCATTAAAGTAGATACTATCATAATTGCATAAATCAATTTAATGCTTTTTGTATAGTTATTGTGTTTATTATTATACTGTATTTATATATAGGTTTATATTGTTTTTTTACTTGCTGTTGTTATAATGATATTTATTTAATGCAGACTTAC